CCCTGACTGCAGCTCAGGGGAAGTAGACCCAACACCTTTCCTGGGCAGCACACCCAAGGTGTGAGAGCAGGATAATCGGCCCAGTTCTTTGTTGCCTGCTTGTGGTGATATTTTATTTGTGCTTTAATAAATAAATTTGGCCTAGAGATCAGAGAAAATAGCAAGCCATTTTAAGTAAACAAAAAAGTCAGGCAGCGTTAGCACAAGCCTTTAATCCTATCACTTAGCAGGAAGGATCTCTGTGTGTTCAAGGTCACACTAGGGAACAGAGTCAAGCGTGGTGACATACACCTTTAATCCCAGTACCAACCATAGTGACATGGAGGTCTGTACAGACAAACAGAAAGTGACAGAGCTTCCAATGTGTAGGAAGAGGAAGTGAGGTATCTGGGCTAAGAGAGCCAATGTGATGGCAGAACAGCAAGGCAATAAAGGCATGGGTAGACAGAAAGTAACTCACATTTGGAAGCTGCTGAGTTGGTGAGGTTAGGTTAGCTGTGGCTTTCCCTGTTTCCCTGATCTTTCTCTAAGGCTTTCATCCCTATATTTGACTCAGTGTTTTTTATTTAATAAGACCATTTAGAAATTCGTCTACACCTGCTGCAGGGGGTGAGCTAGCTGGGACAATGCTGGAGAGCTTGAGGAGGGAATGGTGGTAGGCTGATCAGCCCAGCTACTACCTAAGCCCAGAACCAGGGCTGTGAGTTGGCCCACCCCAACATCCCCCTCATCTATGATCTGCTAGAACGTGTGAAGGGGCCAGGCCTGCAGACCCAAAGCTGCAAGATCTCCACCACACAAGATAGCAATAGGATATCCAAGAAGAGTCCCACTGAGGGCCCCATAGCAAGGGTGTAGCAGAAGCCAGAGACCTCAAACCAGACCAATGACTCACTGCAATGAACACTTGCAAGTAAAGATGTATGGAGCAAAGGGTATACTGTGTGACTCACTGTGTCACATTATAGCTTATACTCTGAGACATATTTTTTTTGTATGTAAGTTAGTTTGTTTTTGTTTTTCTTTTAAATTTTATTTTTTTAACTTTTATTTATTTATTTTTCTTGGTTTTTCGAGACAGAGTTTCTCTGTGTAGCTTTGTACCTTTCCTGGAACTCACTCTGTAGCTCAGGCTGGCCTCCAACTCACAGAGATCTGCCTGCCTCTACCTCCCGAGTGCTGGGATTAAAGGTGTTTTTGGAAGGGAGGTTGCAAGGGCAGAGGGTGGATTGATGGGGTGGGGAGATGAATGAGATCAGGATGTATGATGTGAATTCCACAAAGAGTCAATTAAAAAAGTCTAAAAGAAGACTGTTAATCATGTACTAAAAAATTGCCATCCACAAACCAATCTTCTCTCAGCAAATGAATTTGTTATGGCATAGCCCCACTGGAGAAAAGGAAAAGAAGGGCTGACTCTTGAGAGTAGTCTCTAGACTTTTAGAGTACTCTATGGTCTTACTGAAAATTATGCATTTCTATACACTAGTATATTATTTAGCTGTATAAAGAAAGACTTATCATGGAATGGGGGCGGGGTAGGCTAATGGGGATAGACTAGGGAGGAACTGACAGTTGATGATGTCTTAGGAAGGTAGAGTCAATTTTCTTTAAGGGTGTAGCTCCTAGTAGGAACACCCCACTCTAGTGGGTAATTCCACACTCACAAGTAAGTATATGGTCAGTACAAACTGGACTAAGTGGTTTGTTAAAAAAAAACAAAAAAACAGAACATAATGTGGGAGGTTACAGGGTGGAACTTAGAGGAGTTCGGGGTGATCATGATTAAATATATTGTAAGAAATTATCAAAGTGCTGATAAAATATTATTTAAAGTTTTTAATTTATAAAGTAAAAATGAAATGGAATCATATTAAAAATAGTTCTTATCAGAACTATATCAACAACAACAATAAAAAAATTAAGGATCTATCAAGTCACAAAGAGGCAGGAAGGAGGAATCTTGCCTAATGTGAACCTCTCTGGTCTACAGAGGATCTGTCCTGCCTGATTCTACTTCCATAGCATTCTCAAAAAGGCAATATTGTGGATGAGGAAATACTGCATTACTGGGGGCACATGATGTGGAGATGGGGAGGAATAGACAGAGAGCAGCAGGTTTTATGGACTATGAGGTGATTGATTCTGTAGGATTCTGCCATGTATTTACATCATAATACATTTCTCAAAATCCAGAGAATTGTTCAACACAGTGTGACTATCCTAATATAAAGGAAGGACTTTGGTTAATCTAGTGTTTAATTTTGATTTGATTGTAACAAATAAACAGACCCAAAATGTGAACAGAAAAAAATGTGTGCAGCAGAATAGAAAGGAAGTGTGCATGTGGACTGTCTGAACCCGCTCCTCAATTTCTGTCAATCTAAAACTTTTAAAAAATAAATTGTAGTCAGTTCATTAGACATACATTTTCCATTGCATGGGTTTGAATTTGAGAATTAGAAAAACAGAACAGCACCAGGTTAAGTGCAGTGTGACTTTGTTTTCCAAGAGCATCTATATGGATTTTAAATTAAAAAAAACTCAGACAATCTGGAATTAGCTAAATACAATGAAATTTTCTCAATCTCTTGAAATTTCTTCCAGCAGTCAAATCTGTAAAGACTGTTTGACTGACTGTGTGCTTCTGAGTCAGAAGCTTGCCTTGAGTTCTTACCAATGCTCTCAAATGCCCCAGAAATTCCATCTGTCTCTTCCCCAACCAGATCCTGTCTTCTGCTGAAGCACTGTGATCTTCAGGATGATGCAGAGATGATCTATCTAGTTTAGGGTTTCTCATTTCGCCCATCACTGGTTTGGACACTGAAAAACCACTTCAAATCCAGAACAGAGAATTAATCTATAAAAATTCAATTAACCTGTAGGATGCTTGTGGACTCCTCAGGAAACTCAATCAGAGTTTTCTTAACTTATTAGTCGCTTCAACTGTTTTGAATTTTGTAGTCTTGACAATGGCACTGAACAGTCAGAAAAACCCTAAAAGTGAAGCAAACTAAGAGGGTAAATCCAAGTATCAGATTGCACCATCATGCTTACAAACATCCAGATACACCTCATCTGTGAGTTCCAAAGGCCAGGTCCTGAGTGTGCTGCTGTACTAAGGATAAGCCATCACACTTCCTGATGACAAAGTCCCCAAAGTGCCTGTCTTTTCTACCTCATCTCTAATGTGCTGAATGCTTTGAGAGAGAGAGAGAGAGAGCCCAGCTGAAGTGACAGACAGACCCTAGGTACCTATAGCATTGATATGGTCACAGAGTTGGTCTTTTGGGAACTTGTTTCAACATTTCATTCTAATAAATAAATAAATAAATAAATAAATAAATAAATAAATAAATAAATAAATAAATAAATGGCTACACAGAAGGAAAAGTGGCTGTTTCCTGAAGTTGGGGATTGTGCTTGACATTCCAGAAGTAAAAGACTTCCAGTAACAAAAATTCCAGTAGTAATTCCAGAAGTAAAATTCCAGAAGTAAAAGACTTCCAGTAACAAAATTCAGGGTGTCATTGGACATGGGTGGTTGGTGTAAATGTACGTTTTCAAATTTCTGTTTTTTGGATGCAGTAGGCAAAAGGAGCATAGGTCCTTGTTTATCTTGTGACATCGCTGTCAGTGCCCAATACACCTCCTGACACTGTCACCTGTGCACGAAGGACAAATGAGACTTGAAAAACAAAACAACCAAAGAGAAAAACGATAGATGTGCTTAGTAAGAAACACACACTCAAGCACATATTCCAGGGCTGCCTACCCAGCAGGAAGTTTTGTGACCAAGCACTGACCCTTTCCTGACACAATGTGTGTGTTGACCTAAACCCTTTGAAGAGTTTACCAAGTTATAAAAACTATAAATTGTTTACAAACTTTTTACAAAATAAAAGAACTTAGTGGACAATGGACCCTATTGAAAAAGGCAGTCAACTGAACTTTCTCTCTTCTTCTACAGCGGAACATGGTGGTGACTAGTTATCTGCTGTGGAGAAATGTCTGCACAGTTGTTATGCTTGTGTTTTGAATGCCCTCAGATTTTTAGAAATTTGAGGATAAGCAAATAAACCTTATCTTCTTCTGTATTTTTTCACTATTGGTGACAACTTACCATTTTTTTTAACCACATTTTTATTTGTGTGTATGTTTGGGCAGAGGGATGTATCATGGTGCATGTGTGGAAGTCAGTGGATAACATGGGGCAATCAGTTCTCTCCTTCTACCCTGGGGTTCTCAGGGATCAAACTCAGGTTGGAAAGCCTTGGCAGAAATCTATTGAGCAATCTTGCCAGATTAGTCCTAGTGTTTTAGAAGCCCTAGTATTAATTGTTTATAAGAATAGTATGGCACAGAAGATGGGGAGATATGGAGGGAGGGAGGAAGTGAGGGAGGTAGAGAGGGAGGAGAAAGAGAGAAATGAGAAGTGAGAGCAAATGAGCATAGCAGACATTTCTGTTTGGAAACAATTTTGTTGGGAAAAACAAGACTTATGTCTCATAAAACATTTGGCAAAGATTGTTGATGCACAGTCACTTATCTGAGGATGTGTTTTAGGAAGCTGCTGCTAGGTGGAAAATTTCCTCCAGAAGATGCCTTGAAGATCAGTGGGTAACACACTCCCTGGTTGTGTCAAGGCTCACAGAGTTTGGGATCCAGGGTGCTTTCCCATTCAAAGTATAGAATTTGTAATTTTATTCCATTCTTCAGCTACTTTGCACATCTGCATTTGTCAGGAAAAGAGGATTTTAAGCTTTTATGTTTTCCTGAGCCATATGGGTAGGGCTAGGAAAGAAGGCACAATTATGGGGGAAAAAAGGTGTGGTGGGAGCCAGGGGGCTAGGTATGGAACAATAAAAACAAGAAAGCCAGCCAGGTATAAAAAAAAAAAAAAGCATCTTTCCTGATGGTTGGAAGGGGAATTGGCACTCTTTGTTGGTGGCCTTTTACTTCTGGCCTACAGCTTGCATTTAATTTGAATCTTATTAACATGAGGAATGTAGCACACCAACCTGATCCTCTCAATTCCTGTGCTTAACTTTAAAAGTCTGCAAGTTGAATAAATGGCTTTGCAGGAGAGGACAGCTTCTTCCCAGCAAGGTAAGTGCCAAGGTTATCAGCAAAAGTAACAGCCTGGAAAAAGAACAAATGTGGCCTGTGCTTGTAGAAAAAAAAATGTGCTGGGTGGGAGAGCAGTGGAACATTAAAGAACATTATTTTAGGTAAATTTAGAATGGTTCAAAAATGATGCACAGTGAATTCTGTGCATGGCCTTTCACTAATTTATCTGATTAAGACTAAGATGAGCATATAAGTGTGATACACACACACACACACACACACACACACACACACACACACACACACACACAGATGAGTGTACTGGGATATTCACTGTGGCACAAACACAATAATGAATCATTAAGCAGTATGTCCTAAAAGAGAGAATGATTAAATAAATTATATAGCCATCACAAAAACTAGAATGCTCTGTACTAAGAGGCCCACCGTTACATTTAGCAAAATGGATAATTGTGCTCTTGACATGTTGAATAGAAAATAGAGACTGCAAAACAACATGAAAAGAATAAGTGAATTTTTATTCAAAATTCAAACTGAGTTTAATCCTTCTGGCAATCTGTAAAATCAATGTTGTCAGTTCTTTTTCAATCCAAGTTCCCTAATTGATATTCTGCTTTTGGCTTAGCACCATAGAGAAAAGGATTATGGAAGGGATTGGGTAGTTTGGGGAAGAGACAACTAGTTTAGAATATTTGCCATCTTTCTGGAGTTGTGCTAAATATTTGCTGTGGACTGAATAGTGCTCCCCTCCCCCAATTCACTGCTAAATCCCAAACACCTAGTTCTCTGCTGTGATTTGCAGCACAATTCTGCAAGGTTAAAGGATTATAAAGAAAGGGACTTTATACCATAGAATTGATGCCTTGAAAGATGAAGATGTGTCAGAGAAATATTCACTCTCATATGTGTATGTGTGTGTATAGTAATATATATATATATGTGTGTGTGTGTATATATATATATATATATATGTATATATATATCTCACTCTTTGCCATCTTTGAGCAGGAAATGACTTTCCACTGATTTTTGACTTCCTAGTCTTGAGAACTATGAAAAATAAATATTTATTACTTAACTGCCTTTTAATATCCTACCAGGAGCTAGAGTTACAGGTTGTTGTGAGCCACCTAATGTGGGCTCAACAAACCGGATTTGAGTCCTGCAATTGAGTCCTATGCAGTAAGAGTGTTGTGGAATATTACTTTAACCATACAAATATGTGTTATGTTTGTTTATGTTGTGGAATATAACTTTAATTATGCAAAGGTGTTTTATATTTGTTTATGTTGCATTTGTTTAATTATGTAAAGATGTGTTGCTTTGCCTGTCTAAGGCACCTGATTGGTCTAATAAAAGCCTGAATGGCCAATAGCTCGGCAGTAGAGGGATAGGGGCTGGCCAGCAGAGAGAATAAGTAAGAGGAGGAATCTAAGTTGGAGAGAGAACAAGAGGAGGAGAGACTAGGGAGAAAGAGTGAGAGATGTCTGGGACCAGCCAGGCAGGCAACCACCAGCCAGCCAGACATGGAGTAGGACATACAGAATTAAAGAAAGGTAAAAAGCCCTGAGGCAAAATATAGATTAAGAGAAACAGGTTAAGTTATAAGAGCTAATAGGAAACAAGCATAAGATAAGGCTGAGCATTCATAACTAATAATAAGCCTTTTTGTCATGATTTGGGAGCTGGTTGGTAGCCCAAAAGAAAGTCCATTACATAAGAATAACAGCCCTTAACTACTAAGTCATCTTTCTAGCTCCTTAACCTCTTTTTAAAAAACTGGCTTTTCATGTAAGCCAGCTATACAACTTCTGGTCCCTTACCCAAAAGACTTCATATCTTACTAGAGAGACACTCATATACTCATGTTTATTGCTGCCCTATTCATAATAATAAGCAATTAAAACCAGACTAGGCATCCTTCAACATATGAACAGATAGTGTTCATATATGCAGTGGGAGTTTTATGAATCTGAGAGGACAAATGAAAGCTGCAGAAACATGAATGGATTATGTAATATTAGGCAATGTGATATAAATTGAGAAAGACAAAACCTGCATGCTCTCTTTCATTATACACATTGTAGGTTTTGGTGTATACATGTAGGTATGTAAATGGGTGTAAAATGTAGGCGAATCCTGAAACCTAGAAACGAGACCAAGGGAGACCAGAAAGAGATGCTGAGGAAGTGGGGGAGGGGCTTTGAGACATAAAAGGAGACTAGGGGAGAGGTAACAAGGGGTTGGAAGGTGGGTGGGTAAGAAAATGAATGCTTAGGAGAATTGATTAAAGCAGACTTTGTTCAAAAATGCCATAATGATATCTAATATCTTGCAGGCTAATCTAATAATTTTTTTTAAATGAAAAGATGTGGTTTATAGGTTCATTCAAGCTCATAAAGACTGAGGGTGAAGTTGAAAATCATGTCTCTTTCTTGCCAAGCCCAAGCTCTCTCAGAGTGCCAAGAAGTAAGAAACCAGACTTTTCAAATGTGTTTCTTTTTCTCTTAAAAACTATTTTCAAAATTACATTATTT